CTCCATCACGGAGTTGTCTTATCTCATGTCACGAGCTCTTCTGCTGACTGTACTGACCTCCTAGGAGAGATGGTCCCAGTGCCTGACTGCAGCCCAGGACTCTCTCCATCAACAGGCCTAGCTGCCATCGGGACACGTCCACTAGGGTCACTTCCACTCAGGACAGGTTCGCAGCACCTCTATGGACCGGTACCTAGAGGGTTCAAGAATGGACCTTGCCATGCGATGTCCGCCACCACGTTAGGATGCAGCAGGAAGGCCCCCACCAGCTGTCAGCCCTCTCTCTAGGGTCGTCAGACATCAGGACCTGCAAACCCGCCGGGTTCCCCAGTGACCCCTGCAGCGCTCCACCCCTCTCTACCCCTCACACTCAGTTACCCAGCCTGCCTTCCACCTCCGACCCGCCTCCACGTCCCATCCAGGTCAGGGCTGTGCACGGGCTCCTCCCCTGCTCCTCCAGCTCCAGTCTCCTCCCAAGATTCTTCAGGTCTCCATGACAGCTTTTCAGAGAGACCCATAGGACACAGAGAGGGGTGAATAAGGATTCAGTGGGGGAATTGGGGCTCATGAAACGGAGGCCGAGAAGACCCACAAGTGGCTCTCTGCGGGCTGGAGAGCCAGAGAAGCCAGTGTGGGCCCAGGTTAAGTCTGCAAGCCTCAGAATCGGGGAAACCAACAACGTCACCCTCAGTCTAAACCTGAAAACCCAAGAGCTCGAGAGCCAAGGAACTGCAGGGAGATGGGACTGGTGTGAGCCCCAGAATCCAAAGGCCAGAGAACCTGGAGTTCTGATACCCCAGGGCAGGAGGGAAAGGGTGTGCCGGCTCCAGAAGACAGCGCAGGACTCACCCTGTGTTAGGGTTTGAATGTGTTTCCCAAAAGGTCACACGTTGGGAACTTGATCCCCAAACTCATGTTAACACTACGTGGAGCCACGGCCTTTGGAGGTCATTAGGATTAGAGGAAGCCATGAGGGTGGAGCCCCATAGGACATTAGTGGCTTTAGAAAGAGGAAGAGGAGGAGGAAGAAGAGGGATTCAAGACAGGACCTTGCCATGTGATCTCCTCCACCATGTTAGGAGGCAGCAGAAAGGCCCTCACCGGATGTCAGCAGAGGCACCTTATTTTTTTATTTTCCAGCTTCCAAAACCATGAGCTAAATAAATCTCTGTTATTTATAAGTTACCCAGTCTTGGGTATTTAGTTATAGCAAATAGATGAAGACACCATCCCTCCAACTTTTTGTTCTATCTGGGCCCCTAGGTGATTGGATGGTGTCCACCCACCCACCTACCCACACTGACGGCTGATCTTGCCCACTCGGTCCTGCACCCACACACCACTCTCCTTTGGGAGCACCCTCGTAGACACACCTAAGGTAGCCCCATCATTCTAATCAAATGCCAAACTACCTGTATTTCCCTTTCAGGAGAAGAGGAGTGAGTCCGGGGCCTACTGAAGCTTTGATAATGATTAATGCTTTACCAGCCAACCGGGTATCCCTTCATCCAGTCCAGTTGATGCCTCAAATCAACCATTCTAAGTCCATCCCTGGCCAACGTGCCATCCACCACATCGCCTCAAACACACTTAATCTCCAAATAAACACAAAAGCATGGCCATGGTCCCGCTGAGCATGACATGCCTGTCCCCCACACCACAGGACATGCCTTCCCCAGAGGAGGAGGTAAAGCGGCGTCCACTCCTCTCCTGGTGACCTTAACTAACACTAGGATGTAAAAGTAACCATGACTGAACAGAATGACCTCCTTATCTTGTGTTGTAGCGTAATGATACGAGAGGAAAGGAAACAAAGACATTTGCTTAATATACACAAAGCAGCCTTAATGAAGCAGGACGGGGCACCCAGGGCCGTGACTGTAACCGGTCACACACGTGTGATGGGACTTACAACCATCTTCTCCTTCTCCTGAATTCCCATTCTGCATTCCTTTTTCTTGCTACCGGTGCCTACACAGGCCATGATCTTGACCTGGCTGGGTACCCCAAATCTTCATTCCTGAAAGGTCTGGGCCCATACAGTGCTGTCTGGATTGAATTGTTATTTCCCATTGATGGTAATCGTGGGGCATAGTAGTGCTCAGAGATGCCCGGGAACCTCCCGTATGCCAGACACACTCTTTCTTGCCTCCACTGTGTGCCAGTGACCCAACTCCCCTTGGCGGTCTGCACCCTGACTCTCAGCCTGCTGACTTGGAGGCACAAGGAGCACACAGAGACCGAATAGCTGTCCCAACTTCCATTTCAATGGAATCATTGTTGTGTCTCTTGGTGGAAGCATTCCTCTCTCTGGAAGAGACCTCTGGCCAGCAGAGCACAAAATCATGGGAACAGGAAGCAAAAATGTTGCTAGTGGGTTACTAGGGTTAATGGCCAGTAGAGCTGCTCCCATCTCCACCCTCACTTCCCGGACCCACGAGTCCTGGCTATGGGAGAAACAGCACCACATGAGGGACACTGACTCAGAGCCCAGGCAGCCTTGTGGACGGCCTGCCTCAGCCCTGCCAGGCATTGCCCGCTACCTGGCACTGTAATTATGTCTTCAAAAAGCCGTTCCATCATTCTATCGAGCCAGCTGCTTCGGGATGCTGGGAACACGGGAAGACCCATGAATCCACGAACATCGTGAGGCCAGTGCCCCACTTCTTGGGCTGCAGAGTGAGGTCCCTGGTCAGAAGCAATGCTATGCAAATACCCTGAGAGTGGACAGGGACTTCCGTGAGTCTGCAGATGGTAGTACTGGCAGGAGCCTTGTGTGCATAGGAAAATCCATTCCCAGGGCAAGTAACCTGGTTCGGCAAGGATGAAAGGCTGCCCGCTACATGATGGAAGGGCTTCAGTGTAACCAATCCACCACCAGGTGACTGGCCGATCATTCCAGGGAATGGTGTCCGTACTGGGGGCTCAGTGTTGATCTCTTCTACTGGGCACTCAGTAGTTCTCTGACCAGAATGGCCCTGCTGAATAGAAGTGCATGCGACTGAGCCCATGCCCAACTTCTTTCCTGCCACTAGAGCCACTCTGCTCACGAGCCCATTGGGTGATGCCAGGGGTGGCTGGGGAAGGAGGCTCCCTGGGATCCACAGAATGGGTCACCACCCTATCCACTTGATTATTAAGGCCCTCATCCACTAGGTCACCTTTTTGGTGAGCATTCACATGGGACACAAATATCTTCAGGTCCTTTGTCCACTCACAGAGATCTATCCATATATCTCTTCCCCAAACTTCATTGCAACCAATTTTCCAATCATGTTCCCTCCAAGTCAAACCACTGGCCCCTGAATCAGTGTAGAATCACACACTGGGCCATTTCTCCTGCCAAGCAAGGTGCACGGTTGGGTGAGCTGCCCAGAATTCTGCCCATTGAGAAGGCTTCCCTTCACTCCTGTCCTTCAGGGGCATCCCAGCAGAACCACGACCCCCGTAGGTACAGGGTGGGGGGGCAAAAGGCAGTGTGGCAGGAGAAGGAGCCAAGGACATTTGAGCTACTCTTCACCTAACATACCTGTGCCTTCAAGACGGGTCATGTACACAGCACTTCCATTTGAAGGGGGTGTTCTGTGCACACCCAACTACATGGCTTGCTGGGTCAGATAATGCCCCATTCCTAACAGCTTGGGCTAAAGGGTAACTTGGGCCACGGTCAAAGTTGTTTCTACAAGGCCCAGCAGCATGCCAAGAGCTATTTCTCAAAGAGAAGTTGCCCATGGATGATGGCTGGGCCTTGCTCCAAAATCTCAAAGGCCTGGGCTGTGATTCACCTCCAGGGCCTGACACTCCTGTCTGCTGCTAGCTCTCCAAGCATCACTGGATCTTCTGGATCATGTGGCCCAGGTGGCAGAGCAGCCTGGACAGTGGCTCGGGTCTGTTACAGAGCCTTCTCATGTTCTGGGCCCCACTCATAACTAGCCACTTTTGGGGTTATTTGGTGGGTGGGCTACAGTAACATCCAAAGGAGGGATGTGCTGGCTTCAAAATCAAATAGTTCCACTAGGGCTGTGCCTCGTCCCCAGTTGAGGTGGGAGGTCAAAGGCAACAACTGATCCTTCAGCTTAGAAGGGATCTCTTTGTATGCCCTATACCTCTGGGGTCCTGAGACTGCACTGAGGTAGAACCCCCCCCCCATCTCAGGAGGACCATCTTCTGACCCGAAAATTCCTTACCAAGAAGTACAGAGTGGTTTTTATTTCTTCATTAGTAGTTTCAATCAGCAAAATATCACCCATGTAATGGGCCAGTGTGTGTCCTGTGAGGGGGAAGGGGAGCGAGATCCCTGTGGATTCAGTGGGGACACAGCACTGGAGACCTGAAGTAGCCCTGAAGAAGGCCAGGGCAGGGGTACTGCCAGCCTTGCCGGCCGAAAGCAGACTGCTTCTGGTGGGCATCGTGGACAGGGATGGAGAAAAAGACATCTGCAAGATCCAAACGGCTGCCCACCAGGTAGAGGCTGTGTGTTCACTGCAACTTCAACAGGAGCTGCCACTCGGCCAGGCCTAGGGTAACCCACCGTCCCTCTCCAGGATTCGTCCGTCTTTTGCAAGGGCCAAACGGGAAGGCTGAACGGGGATGTGGTGGGAGTCACACCCTACACCTCTCAAGTCCTTGATGGTGGCATTAATCTGTGCAGTCCCTCCAGGCGTGTGATGTGGCTTTGCTGTAGGGTCTCCCTAGGTGGAAGCAGCTCTAATGGCTTCCATCTGACCTCTCCCCCATGCATAGCCCCCTGGTCAAAGGTCACCAGTTCCTCTGAGGCCTGCTGGGTGGAAGATGAACAATATAAATTTTGTTAGGGTGCTGGGTCCCAACCCCAGGGGACCTGGCCTCCCTGACGGTCTGCACTCTGGCTCAGATCTGGGAACTGACTTTGGAGCCACGATTCTCTGTTTTCCTCGCCCTGGACATTTTCTGCTCATACAGATCAAGTAAGATGGGTCCGTCTGTCTGTCTCACTCCCAGGAACACCATGATTAACTCACCAGCGCCACAGGTCTACGGGAGCCAGACTCCTGATTGCTGCCTTGCCTCAGCTGTCCGTGACGGTAATTACCAATTCCGTCCACCTTGCCTGCCGTGGGTGAGTGCAGCCACTGGGCCCCGTCACTGCCCGATCCAATCACTCCCACCGCATTTCAGTTTTCGAATCGAATGATGCAGATCTCTAAGGCCTGGCATACAGAGAAGAGAGATCACAGACCTCCCCACATAGATCCATTTCTCAGAGTACCAGTGGACAGGGCTCTTCTGGACCCTCCCAGCGTGGGTTGACAGGGTTTAGTGCCAAATGCACTCTAGCCTTCTAATCTCCCTAAGCCTTTGAGGCCAAACGCAGGGAGACCAGGCATCTCCAACATGCTCACGGTGGGCCAGCTTTTGATCCTGTTTCAGCCACCCAAATGGTGGGATTGATTCATTCCTCCCTGGGCTGCAACATTAAAGGCAGAATCTCAATATCAACAAATTCAGCCTGCCCAACTTTATGTTCCTCCCACTGTCATCTCACACACTCCTGGGTTCCTGCTTATATAAACTAGAAAACTAGAGTAGAGTAAGCAATCAGGGGGACGGGGAATGAGATGGATCACACCGTTATGTGCCTACGCAGATATGGCACAATAAACCCCACTATTGTGGATAATTGTAATGCACCAATAAAAAGTAAAAAATGAAAGCTCATGAAGTTCTTTTGAAGTGCAGTACACCTACCCCTGGGTCACACTTTGTGCCTCACCTTTAGGGTAAGGTGACCCAAGGGAAAGCCACTCTGCTCCCTGGAGAGGGATGAGCCGAAAGCAAGTGGAAGATGCAGATGCTCTCAACGCAAGGGCGTGTACTGAACAACCAGAGGAGCCCAAAGCAGAGCCAGCAGCTGCAGGTGGCCATGCAGACCAGTAGGTCCTTCCAACCCTGGGACGCTAAATTCCTACTCAGCTGTCCTTACCCAAGTGTCCCAGTTCCCCTCGTCATGGGCCCAGATCACCCACTGTTTCCTTCCTTTCCCCAGACATGTCCTCAGGGGGCAGGGTTCCCAAACCCCTTCAGAGAACCTGTCATCTGCACAGAAATTTCAAGAGGTCCAGCTTGAGTTGAGGTCCAGCTTGTTGACAAATCATTCCTCCCACGTCCCCGGACGCCCAGGCCTGCCACGAACCCCCACGCCACACTGCACAAGGCTCCGAGCGTCCGGGGCAGGCCCCCAGGTTGTGCCTTGACAGATTGTCCCAACCATCTCTCCGGGAGCTCCAGACAGCTTGAGCTGATTGCTGATGGGGTCCGCCTCATGGTCCTCAGACTATTTTTCATGTTGGCAACGTGCAGAACGTTGACAACACAAGACAAGCAAGGAGTTGTCGAAGGCTCTGGGGAGTGGCAATGAGACAGACTGTCCCCCCCACACACACACACCCTGTGAGCTATTGGGTCACACAGCCCTCTTTCTGTGAGGGCACGGTGTCAACCTCACCTTCAAGGCAGAAGGCAGGGCCCCACCACTCAGCAGCAGTGAGACCTTGGCCAGGTCACTTGCTGTCTTGGGAAAGGTAGATGGAAGGAGAACTCAGAGCTCAGGGTTCTCAGTTAACGCGCAAGGATTGTGATCAGAGCCCTTAGCAGCTCAGTGCCCGGCACCTGGCCGTGAGCAGAACACTTAGATTGGGAGGGATGCTATCAGAGACTAGGGAAGGGGACGGCACTGCCTTGAGAACCTGAAATGAAAGTCCCCTTAAATCTGGATTTGGTCACTCTGGCTCAGAGGAGAATGAAAGGCCTACGCACCCCTAGGCAGATGGAGGCCCACCTGTACCTGCCCTGGTGCTTCTGCCTTACTTCTCAGAACAGACATGTAAATCAATTCCCGCATACATCGGTCACCTCCTAGGTCTTGAGGAGAATTGGTGCAAAATCCCCAAATGAAACAGATTCAGCAGCTTTGCTAAATTTTTATTTTAAAATAATAAAATATCTGCAAGCAAGTTTCTACCTACCGGGGACAAGTACTAGGTGCAAGAAGAGAGCAGGCACAGGGCGAGGGCCGAGCACGCCGGGTCCCTGTGAGCTGCCAGTGGCAGCGCTGGCCTCCAAGAGCAGGGAGAATTAAACACTGCACGGATTCCAAGGGTGAGTTTTATGCAGCAGCCCTGAGGAACCACTGAAGGGTTGGCCCAGCCTTGCTGGAGCAGCTGGAGAAGTGCAGCCTCCCCAGGTCCAAAGTGACACCCCCCGGTGCAGAGGAACACTCCTTCCTAAGACCCAGAGTCCCACAACTTCTCCCCCAGGACTCCCTGAAGCCAGCCCAGGGCTTGCTCCCTGCTGGGGGCCAATGTGCAACTGCTTTTATTTGCTGTGTTCCTCGGTGTTAGCAAAGCTAGGCAAGAAAAGGAAGACTGTAAAGACCTGCATTAGGAGATTGCACGCCTCTGGGTCTGCAGTCTCCCCCCCCCCCTTCTCTCTCTCCCTCCATCTACTGGATGAAGTGCTCCCTGCAGAAGCAGTAAAAGAAGAGGAGGAGTGCCTCAAATGATCTAATCCAGCCCATCACTTCGCAGCTGCCTGGCCCATGACCTCAGTGCTGGGGGCAGTAACCAATAGCAACAGCCAGAACTTGGGAGTCTTGGTCCGCAGCCCTGCCTGGGCAATTTGGTTAAGTCAGGCACCTTCTCTGGGCTTCTGCTAGGAAAGGAAGGGTTGACCTAGCTGGAAGCCCCGTATGTAATGCAGGGCTTCCGAACTCAATGATTCCTTGTCACCTAGACCACTAATGCTTCATCTAGAACCTTCTGCCTCCCCGAGGTGGAGGTTAGGAAGGTGTGGGCCAGAGAAGGGAGAAGTGGCCCCCACTCCCTCCTTCCTTGCTTGCTGCTCTCCTCACACCCAACCACCCGGGATGAACCCCCCTTTTACACACACACACACACACACACATACACACAATGTCACACACCCAGCCATCCTAGCCCTGGACAGAAAATCCTTCCAAGGACACCAAATCTTAGTCATGTGGGATGGCACTCTTACCATGAACACCTGTTAAAACTCAACTCCTGACCGGTTTCTGATGCTACCGGCTGGAGTGTTTAATTAAATATTACTCACTCAGGAAGCGCTCCCTGCCAACTCACCACCAACTGAACACTTCATTTGCAGAGAAAAAGAGAAAGGAAGGGAAAAAGAGCCTGAGGCCTTCTTGGTTGGCACCAGCAGGGGCTTCCCTCGTGGGGGGCCTGCCGGTGGTCTAGCACGGCCCACTTTCAAGAATCAAGCAAGGAGAGTCGAGCTAAACAGCTCTCAGGAACAACGGCATCATTGCAAGATCACCATAGCTCTCTCTCTCACACACACACACACACACTCACAGTCCCTCACTCATACACACACACATGCACACAGAGATGTACTCACAGACACACATGGAGCATGGTGGCACACACCTGTAAACCTGACTACTCGTAGGCTGAGGCAGTAGGATCACAAGTTCGGTGCCAGCCTCAGGAACTCATGGAGAGTACCTCAGTGGCAGTGTCACAGAAGAGGTGTCTGTGGAGAAGGATCCCTGAGAGAAAAGGGAACTCAACTCAGGATGTGTGTGTGCATGGGGGTCTTTGCCTTACATGATGGGTAAGGATTTCAGCACACCCAGTCAGGGGCACAGAGGTCTATTGAGGAAAGCAGATACACATTCAAGGGTGAATACGGGCTCTCAAGAGGGATGCCTTTGGGGGTAAAGCATTTGGGGGGAAATGCATTCAAGGAAGAAGGAGGGCATCTATAGGGCGAGAGATGTTTTAGGGGTCCCTCGCTCAGCTTCTAAGGACAACTTGGCAAGAGAGGGCAAGGGAAGGTGTGTAGGACTGCTATCAGCCTGGTGACCCCGAGATGATTTACAGTGGGCTGGTCAGTCTCGAGATCCTCAGGATGGTGTGGTCTTCAATATCTCATCAGTGGATAGCACTGGAAAGTCCCCTAAATTAGATGTTTCTCAACAAAATATTGCATCTCTCTTAATCTATGGGGGGGGGGGTTACTTGTTTAGGAAGATTTGCAGATTTTCCAGGAATTTGGGAGAAACAGGCCTGGGAGAGACGCTGGTTTGGGGAGTGATAGGCCTGGAAAAATATGTGGAAGTTCGGAATTTAAATTTTATTCCCTTGCCAGGCATGGGGGTGCACGCCTGTAATCCCAGCAACTTGGGAGGCTGAAGCAGGAGGACCTCAAGTTCAAGATCAGCCTCAGCAATTTAGAGATCCTGTCTCAAAATAAATAAATAAATAAATAAATAAAAAGGGCTGGGGATGTGGCTCAATGGTAGAGCACCCCCAAGTTCAATCCCCAGTAGTAAAAATTCATTCATTTCATATCGGTGTCCTTCCTTTATGTCACATTTTTAGCTATTTTTAAAAAATTTCTTAGATCCTTCTTCAGTAGAGTCCCCCCCCCCAAAACACACACACTTCAATCCCCAATACTGAAAGGGGGAAAAAGATACACAGTCATGCCACACACACTCACAGAAACACAACAGACACAGAGACACAGACACAGCATACTCCCAGGCACATATTATGCCACAGAAATAGACTCGCCGGCCCACACAGACACAACTCACTTAGAGCCACTCAGGAAAAGGCAGAGACTCACATCCGCAAAGATACACAGAGGCACTCAC